CATCTGCTTGCTATCCTTGTATTTTTTTCTACAGGCTATTTGGAAATTGATTCTTGGGTGCAGCTGGACCTCCTTGGACAAACCTCTGGCTGGGCTTGGGTGGGGCCTGCAGGGGGAGAAACTGCACACTCTGTGTGCTTCCTAGTGGTGGTTTTCAGCTTGCCCACTCACCCCACCTTCACGTGCCCTGCCCAGCACCTCGCCCAACTCTTCCTTATCGCTGGTCCCAAGGTCCTAGAACTTATGAGCCTCTAAGAGCTGTTGATTTCTCCTTTAGGGATTCCCACCTGCTGGGGGGAGAGCTTCTGCTGGGGGGCAGTGATCCCCAACATTACCAAGGGAATTTCCACTACGTGAGCATCAGCAAGACTGGCTCCTGGCAGATCACCATGAAGGGGTCAGGAGTCCCCCACCCTCTCAGCTCTACCCTGCTGCCATCACTAGGGTTGGGGTGGACAGAGGTGGGGCCAGGGCAGGGTTATTGGCCTTCCTTCTCCAAACGCCAGTGCTTCTTAAGGCACAGCCACCAGCTGCTCCCTACCTGCTTTGTCCAAGATTGCTGAGATCTGAGGGCTGAGAGCTCGGCAGCGGCAGCAGCTGCGAAGCCACTCGACCACACGCACCCTGTCCCCTCATCCGCTCTCTGCTCACTGCATCCCCTCTTCTCCAGCGCACCCTTGACCACTAGCATGGCTCCCATCACTACCCTCACTCAGGAAAGATGCAGCCTGGGGGTGTCTGTCACCCTACAGTCTGTCTGTGACCTCCCCCAGGGTGTCTGTGGGCTCTGCCACCTTGCTGTGTGAGGAGGGCTGCATGGCAGTGGTGGACACCGGTGCATCCTACATCTCGGGTCCCACCAGCTCCCTGAGGCTGATCATGGAGGCCCTGGGGGCCAAGGAGCAAAGCACATATGAAGTAAGCTGCTAAGGGGTGGGGCGCTGGCGGTGGACAAAGCATACCTGGGTCTGAGCCTTAAAATCACCCAGGCAGCATTAGGTCCCACATAAGGCCATTGTAGGCCTTCTTCTACTGACTGCTGACACTCCAAGAACATGTGGCTGGTTCCCCATGACAGGTGGACAGGTGTGGTGTCCAGCCCTCTCTCTAGCAGAGAGGTCAGGCCAGGAACACGTGGCTTTCAGCACGGCTCCTTTTATCCTTCCCACAGTATGTCGTGAACTGTAACCAGGTACCCTCACTGCCCGACATCTCCTTCCACCTGGGAGACAGAGCCTACACGCTCACCAGCGCAGACTACGTGTTACAGGTGAGGCACAAGGAGGAAGTAGGCAGGGTCCCCAGAAGGGAGGCCAGCCCTATGCATGGACTGTGGGCTCACCAGCTGTTCTCAAATGGGGTTTCACGTGCCGCCCAGAGACCTTCTAAACATCCCAGTATGTAGGCAGCATCCCCACCGGTGACGTCAGAATGTGCAGGAGTGCCACCAGGCATCAGTGCTTCCGAGGGTCCCCAGGGGGTGCCAATGCACGGCCACACTGCCACCACTGCCAGTGGTCCTTCTCCCTGCTTCCCAGCAAGTGCCCCCAGATTGCCATGCCCCTGTATTATCTTTTTTTTTTTTTTTTTGGTGGAACCGGGGATTGAACTCAGACCCTTGTACTTGCCAGAGAAGCACTTGTTCTACTGAGCCATCTCCCCGACCCCTTCTTATCCTCTTTTCAGACTCAGGCAGCTTAGAGAACTAGGGTCAGAAACTAAAGCCAGACTGGCAGCTCTCACTATGCCCAATGCACTGTGTGCTCAGCATCTGGCAGGGCAGCTGCACCCAGAGGGGTCAATCCATGCTGGGCTAAGGTGGCCAAGATGTGGTGGATGAGGGAATGGGAGGGAACACTGCTGAAGACAGCTGTTGGGGCGGACCAGGTGGTAGACAATGTGGCACAACCCTCCTTCTCCTGCCAGCACCCCTACAGTAATGGCGGCATGTGCACCCTGGCCCTCCAAGGCCTGGACGTCCCACCCCCTACTGGACCCCTCTGGGCCCTGGGTGCCACCTTCATCCGAAAGTTCTACACAGAATTTGATCGGCATAACAACCGCATTGGCTTTGCCTTGGCCCGCTAAGCCTCTGCCACCAGGGTGAGCCTTGCCTTCGGCCTGAGCCAGAGCTGGAGCTCTCTCTGGGGCTCATGCCCTTACGCAGGGACACTGAACATGGAATCCCTGCGTGCTGACGCTGCCCCAGCCTTTCCTTGCTTTGAGGACAAACAGAATAAAGATTTCATGTTTACAAGCCATTGCCTCTGGGCTTGACTGAGTTTAGAACAGGAGGAGGAGCAGCTGTCTGATTATGTATGTAGAGGAATGTAACAAAGACCAACACATTCACCCCGTGCACAGGTTCCTGCGTGTGTGGATGACGTCATCTGTCTGCTACAACATGGCTCTGGTGGGCTTTCTTTATAAAATCCTGGCTGGAAAGTTTACAGAAGAGCCACCCCTGTGTGGCTAGGCACCCTAGGGACTAAAACTAATGGTGTGGTAATAGACTGTGGGTCAGATTGGTGCCCAGGCTCACAAAACCAGCTCTGAGCCCAGGAACTGCACTAGCCAGCCCCACCTCACATGCCCTGCCAAACTCCCTTCGACCTGTTTTTCCTTCTTTGCAGACACCCTGCCCCATCTGGCCATCTAGCCAGGCAGTCTAAGGCACCACCACCAAAAGAGTAGACCATCTGAGGTCCAGTCAGCACTTCCTGGGCCAGCCAAAGAGCTCAGTGGATTAATGCACCTGCTTAGGTCCATTCCCCAGCCTGCTGTGCCGGCCCTGCCCCCGCACCCCATACACACACTGAGCTATGATTGAGACTGGGCGTGGTGGTGCGCACCTGTAATTCCAGCACTTGGGAGGCTGAAAAACAGAAGAATCACTACAAGTTTGATCTATGTAGTGAGACCTTGTAGGCCCTGTACTAAATTAAAAAAAAAAAAAAAAAAGATTCCAACACTCCCTCTTTACCCACAGGAAATAGGCCCAGAAAATGAAAGGCACTCACCCAGCACCATTCACTAGAGATTCAAATAAGAATCCTGAGAGGTATGAGGAATCAAGCGTAGAACCCAGCCCGGCTGGCTCAGGTCCTAGGGGGTTCTTTCACCTTCTCTCATGCAGTGGTACTGTCACAGGTACACAGTGTCCTACCACCTGGTAGGGGGTCATGTGCATAGAAACACAGGCACACATACACTAGCCTCCATTATGGTCCTGGGACTCGGAAGTCTCTTCTCCCACTCTTACCCTTGGACCATCCACAGGGTATAAAGAGCTTGGGGGATGAGAAAGCAGCTTCCTAGGGCTGGGAGTTGCTCAGTGGTACAGGACTTGCCTAGCATGCAAAAGACTTGGGTTCGATTCTCAGATCCAGAAAGTAAAGAGGTAATAGCATCCACGTGAAGCCACGAACACTATCCCTTCACCACATCAGCACATCCCTCCTTAATCAAAAACAAGAGCATGGGGCACTGAGTAAGTCCACCAGGCCCTTGGTACCTGCAGGGTGGCATCCTCCTGGGGTGGGGTGAGACTCCATGCCTTGTCTAAGGCAGTATTCCTGCAGCAGGAGCTATCTGCAACATCCCTGCGCAGAGCTGAGAGCAAGAGCCTGGGCTTCAGAGCCCTGGACTCCTATTGATTCTTCCTGCTACCTCCTTCTGTGTGGCTTTATTTCCTATGTGAGAAAGGAAGAGCTGGAGGCAGTGTCTTTTCCACACTTGACATCGTGGGGTTCTTTGACCTTAAACACACACACCCCATACACTATCAGCTACATTGTTCAATACAGTTCCCACAAAGGGCTCTTTACATTCAAATTCAAGTTACATACGATGTCACCTTAGATGCATTTCAAGTGATGGACAATCACATGTGGCTAGTGGCCACTGTGCTAGGAGCACAGATGTGTCCATCATCGTACAAGTTCTACCAGCAGAGCTGGGTTCTGAGCAGCAATCACAGGGCCTCACAGTTGGTTAACAAGGTCATGAATAGGCCAAAAGGACAACCTGGGGACATAAGTGGGATCTTTTGCTGTAAGCACTTTTCAGGGTAGGGTAGTGACAGATGACAGTAGGAATGTCACTAAAGCAAGACAGTGACTGAGGCTTCGCTATGGTAGAGAATAGGCAGTCAACGGGGTTGTGCTCAGGAGGTGACAGATGACCAATAGAGAGGTCAGCCCCAGTCCCAGAAGAGCTTTCCACTAGGCTGGTCTGGCCTCATCCCAGATCTCCTTCCCATAACAACTTTGCCCTCTGGGGCACCCTGTCACCCTGCCTCTCTCACATTCCAGCCCCCAGGCATCCACCTACCTCCACACTCCTTTGCCCAACAAAGCCCAGGCTCAAGGGCACCTGCTGGCCTACCTGCCCCCACCAAACGTGGTCACACTCGAAATCTTGACCTAGAATGAGCCTAGACGCTTCAGTGTCCTGGAACATTCAGCCAGGCCCACCCACTCCCCAAAGCCATCACCCAACGTCTTCTCCCCATTGAAAGGGGCAGGGCAGGAGGGACTCTGAGGTGCCGGGGAGCTGTTCCTGTAGGGGCGGGCAGGGATTGAGGGCCGGAAACATGACTCAGAGGGGTGAACCCAAGCTGACATCTTGGGAGCCACAGGATCTCCATATTCCCAGATGAGGTAGGGGCACAGAAGCGCCCTCCCGCCCCTGGCCCAGGACATGCGGAAAGACAGCCCCTGACCAGCTGGGAAGGAGGCAGCTGCGGGAAAGAGCCTGGGCCGCCCCAGCTGGGACCTGGGGGCGAGGCTTTGCAGAAGCTCCGCCCCTGCGCCCCCGCCTCTTCCCCGGGGGCGTCACCCCCGCGCCACACTCCAGGTAGCGGGGCCGCAGCTGTCCGCTATCTGCAGGCGGCAGCCCCAGATCGCGCAACTAGGCGGGGCGGCGGGGGGCGTTCCCGGGCGCGTGATGTCACCATCGCGGCGGGCCCGGGCGTTCCGAGGTCGGCCTCGGGCGCCTAGCCGGACCGGCGAGCGGAGCAGGCGGCCGGCTCCTGAGTCTTGGACTTCCCCGGGCCCCTCCCCCGGCCCTGCCCCCGGCCCGCCGCGCCTCCCTGCAGGGGCTAGCGCGGGCGGCGGCTCCGCGGGGGCGGGGCTGCGGGGATGGCTGTGCCCCCTCCGGCTTCCCTGCCGCGCTCGCCCAGCTACCTGCGCGGGCGGGCGCCTTGCCCGCAGTGCTCATGGGGCATGGAGGAGAAGGCGGCGGCCGGTGCGGGCTGCCGGGAGCCTCCGGGCCCCCCGAGGGCGGCCGCCGTCCCGAGCTTTGCCGTGTCGGTGGACCCTCACGACATCCTCCCCGGAGCCCTGCGCCTCATCCGGGAGCTGCGGCCGCGCTGGAAGCCAGAGCAAGTTCGCACCAAGGTAGCAGAGGGGCTCGGGCCGGGGGTGGGGCCCTGCCGGGGCTGCGTGGACGTCCGTCCGCCTGGTTTGTCCGCTTGCCCTACCGGGTGCAGGAGATACTTGGGACAAGGCCTGGGAGCGCGCTTGTCCTTCTGTGTATTTTGGTTCCTAAGCACGGTGAGGCTCACACCTCCCATGACCCAGCGCTCACACCCCCTCCCCGGCTTGCGGAGGTCCCTGCCCAGGAGCGCACCCGGCCATCTCCGAACCCCAAAGAGGCAGAACTTTCAAGGTAGCCCGCTCCCCACACACAAATTCTCCACTCCACGGTGGGAGCAAAGTCCTCAGGCTCTGAGCCACCTCTGTGGATCCCAGCAGTACTCAGTCCCTCACTGCCTGGGCACACTCGGGTTCAGCACCCCTCTACATACTCAGGCCCTCCTCTGCCCCAGCTAACCCATCCTCTCCAGCACCTGTGGGCAGACCTGCCCCGGAGGAGCTCCCAGGCTGACTCCTCAAATGACCTCCATTCTCTGCAAAGAGGCCTTCACCCTCTGGGCCACCCCACCCTCCCCGGGATGGCCTATGGAGGAAGAACTGGGCCACAGCTCCATGCTAATGGGTCTTCTGGGTGGGGACAGCAAAATTCAGGGAAGGTCTGAACTGAGGGTGGAGGGGGATGAGTCCCTCTAGGGCTGGAGAAGGGATAGAACTTTCAGAAAGCCCAGCTTGGTGTGAGAGGGTTAAGGCCTGAGATTAATTCCCACATAACCTATATACTAACAGCTAGTTTGTCCCCTCTCTGGACCTCAGTTTCCCTACCTAGAATTGGTTCATAGTCCTCTAAGGTCCCATCCATCTCTGTCACATTGTGTCCCCCAGAAGTCCATGGTTCTGTCCTCCTTATCACTGCACAGCTTGTGCTCCCAGTCCACTTGTGTCCTTTCTTCTGCTCAGTGGCTCCAAGGACCTCTAGAAATCAGAATCCTAGGATGGGTGCCAACCTTGGTATCCTCCTTGTCCCTCTGCCAGGGATGGGGCAAGAGGTATACCCAAGAGCCCTGGAAGCATTGAGTAAACCATCAGGCTGTTCCATTCTGGATGAGTTCCAGGCTTCCTCTGCCCATTCTGGTCCATGGGGCTTGATTCAGGGCCAAGATGGGGGAGTATGGGTGTCTTACCCATGTTCCCTTCTGTCAGATTGCATCCACGAGAGGCAGGCCCAGAAGTGAGTGTCCCTGAGCAGAGGCCAAGCCAGCACTATTTTCTTGAGTTCGCTAGTCTATCCCAAAGTTGGGGACAGCATTCACAACACCTCCTGCCAAGTCTGAGATCCAGAGGAACAACCAGGAGGTCCTGCCCCACTCAGCCACCCACCCACCCCTGCTCTCTCCATGTGCTAGCGCTTCACCGATGGCATTACCAACAAGCTGGTGGCCTGCTATGTGGAAGAGGACATGAAGGACTGCATGCTGGTCCGGGTATATGGGGAGCGGACGGAGCTGCTAGTGGACCGGGAGAATGAAGTCAGGAACTTCCAGCTGCTTCGAGCACATGGCTGTGCCCCTAAACTCTACTGCACCTTTCAAAATGGGTTGTGCTATGAGTACATGCCAGGTGTGGCTCTGGAGCCTGAGCACATCCGGGAACCCCGGCTCTTCAGGTAAGGGGGATGCAGGGTACTGTTCATGTGTTCCTCAGGCCTCAGGCGAAATCCTTGGCTGGCTTCCTTGGCATAGTCAGTTCCGTGAAGGAGAGTCATTTACAAGATCTTTGAGCTTACCTGAAATTACATGACAAGTGTGTGCGTGTGTGTGTGTTGATGAGCATTGCTCTGCAGGCAGAGGTCCTGGCTTTCTGCGGGTCTCCAGAGGAGTCTGCTAGAAGGATGAGCGAGTTGTGGGGAAGGAAAAGTGTGAATCTCAATGAACATGGGACCAGAGCATCTGGTTCCCGAAGTGCAGCAGAAGTCTGCCTCCTGACACGTGCCGCACACCTCTGCCTACACCTAGTGTGTCCTGGAAATGTCCCAGAGCCTTGGAAATGGAGACTGAGCCAGATCCCCTGGGCACTGAGGACTCCCTGCTCCTCCTCACTTTCTGTCAAGAGCTCAGATGTGCAGGGAAAATGAGCCCTATTCAGGGTCAGCATGCCTTTACCACTGCAGAGATGCCCTTCTTCCTGCTGGGCTGAGCTTCAGGGTTCTTGACAAGTGGGAACCCAGGTGTGAGGAGCTGCTGACACCTCCATAGCCTGGAGGGATCCCCTTTAGTAAGTAAATACCTGGTTCTAGGCCTAGGAACTGCACTTAGCCTGCAAGTCCTATGCATGCTGTTTGGGGTTTAGAAGCTGGAGAACTGAGACCAGGGAATAGCCCCTAATATTCCCTGACCTCAAGTGTGCCAGGACAGCAGTGCCACGCTGTATCTTCCCTCTCCCAGAATGCCATGAGGAGAGCACCAGACTGTCGTGATGCCTGAGGCAAGCTGGGGTGTACTCCTGACACTGGGCTCAGCAGCATGGTGTCTACCTGGGGTCCTTGGCATCTGCCCCATCCAGTCTAAGAAGAGTGCTACATAGCAGGGCACTGAAGCCCACACGGGTAGGCCAGGAGCTTCTTCATCCCTTCACATGCCACCCAGGTCTGCCCCAGTAAGAGTACCTGACCTTCTGTACATAGCCCCTGGCTAACCCTCAATACTCGAAGAACCGAAGCAAGGAGACACCCCCTACCCACGCTGACCTAGGGCTGCTGGAGGCATAGGGTCCAGGCCACAGATTCTCCACCCTGCTTCTCTGCAGTGCTTCTCCCCACTCTGTGTCTTGTGTAAATAAGCTCAGACCTTGGCAGGTCCCCACCACTCCCAGTCCCCCTCCGCCTCTGTGAGCCTCATGCCGTCACTCATCCCCTCCGTGGAAACAATTACCACTGTCAGGAAGATTGAAGAGGGATTTAGGTTCCATAATAAGAACTTGGCATTTGGGGGAGAGCCACAAATTGGGAGAGGTGTAGGAGGCTGGCCTTCCTGATTTCCCCAGGATAGACCATGTTCCCCATGGGTGAAGGTGGCTGTTTTTGGGGAAGGCCTTGCCCTCTTGGGTTCCCCTGAGCTCAACCCCACCCCCTCTTGAGGCTCTGCAGCAGGAAAATGCTGAGTGTTGAGGTTACTTTCATTGCTATTCAGACAACAGCCCTATTGATATTCAAGGAAACGCTCTGTTCATGCTCTGTTCCTAGTCTTCCTTGGGAAAGGAAGGCCCGGCCTGCCGTCCCTGCCTTACCCAAAGCCCAGCTGGCCCCTTCTGGCACAGGGCCCCTCCCCAGGCACAGCCTCCTTTTCTCACCCACTGGGCTGCTGCCACACCCCCTGCCTCTCCACCCTTGAGGAGATGGGCACCTTGGGAGCTTCTTGGGAGCCTGGAGACTGCCCCGTTATCCTCATGGGGTGTGGCATGCCCCCTCCAGGGCCCAGCAAGTAGAAGGGTTTTCCCTAGCATGGCTCTGACATGAGCTTTCCAGCAGCCAGTGCTTTTGTTGTCTTTCCCAGTAGAAGCCTGGCTGTTGGGAGCTTGGCAGGCAGCTGAGGGTGGGGCTGCAGAAGAGTGGCTGGCAGGGCTGGGGGAGCCCCACTGGGATACAGGCCTTGCAAGGGGGTCCTTATCAAGGGCCTCCCTCTCTGACCGGTCAGTCCTCTGTCCACCCCCGCCTTCTCTCAGCAGTCTTTCCTGCCGCCCACTCCTTCTCTCCCGGGACCTTGGATAATGTCCACAGGAGGACTTGAAAATAGAACGCTGGTTTGTTTTGCGTCCTTGGCACCCGGCCGCCAGCATCAACTCCCCATGACAGAGGAAGGGGCTGCCTGTTTCCCTAGCTGATAAGACATTTCTTCCCTGCCTGGTGTTATTTCCCACTGATCTCTTGGTGGAAAAGGACCTGCTGTCACCTCCCTAGAGGATGGAGCAAAGTCCAGAGGGGAGGAAGACACCACCCCCTGGACACTGCCCCATTATCCTAATGGGTGTGGCACACCCCCTGGACTCAGCAACAGTCTCCCAGGTGCCCCTCTGCTCTCAGGGGCTGCCCTCTGCTTTGCCATACTCCCTACCTAGCCCCAGTCTGGGCCTTTAGAGGACACTGCTGGGCTAAAGATTCTGTTGCATTTTCATGCCTTTGCTGAGACCTGGGGCTCTTGGGAGACCTGTAATGATCTCATACTACTTCCAGCCTGCTTCAGGTCTGCAGGCTCTGAGGCTCTACTCCTCCCACCTTCTGCTGCAGGTTAATCGCCTTAGAAATGGCCAAGATCCATGCCATCCATGCCAACGGAAGCCTGCCCAAGCCCGTACTCTGGCAGAAGATGCAGAGTTACTTCATGCTGGTGAAGAATGAGATCAACCCTAGGTACAAAGTCCTGGGAGGGTCAGAAGCTGCTGCTCTCTCTGCTGCCTTGATCCCCTGCTTGTCCTTTTGGCTCCAGCCTTCCCAAAGGGGAGGCACAGAGACACAGGGCCTGGGTGGGAGTGGGGGGTGCCAAGAGCAGCCCTGGTTATGGAGCTTATGTTCGCAAGCACAGCTGGGTGGATGGGCCGTGCCTTGGGAATGCCACTCAGCAGCCATGCACGCAGGCACTTATTTCTCCTGGAATCTTCTGATTATAGTAAAATCTGGAGCCTGGAACAATTTCTGCCCATTTTACTTAAAAGGAACTGAGGGTCAGGGACCAAGCATTGCCCAGCGTCAGGCTGTCAGGCAGGACTTTTGTCTCGCAACCCACACTTTTTCTGCCTTATCTGCCTCTGAACCATGGGAGGGCAGGGCCCTCTGAGAAGGGGAGGGGCTGTACCACAGCTCAGCTGCCAGCGTGCCAGGAGGATACCCACTTCCTGGACTCCTCTTGTGCCCCTGTGGCTCTGGAGCGCCTGGCCCTGCTCATTGCCCCTGTGCCCTTCCCCAGACAAGATAGGTTCCCTGAACTTTTCTGTCACTCTGAAGCAGCAGTCCCAGACTCCCAGTGCCCAGCTGCTTCCACATGCTGGAGTGCTGCTGGGAAGACTGAAGCCTGGAGGAAAGAGTCCTGCCGCCTCCCTGCCCCCCACCCCCCAATGTGTCTCTAGTCCCACCATGTACCCTGCTGGGATTAAACATCACATAATTGAGCATCTATTTTTTTTAATTTAAATTGACACATAATTGTACATATCTGTGGGAAGGATCAACCCTAGGTATAAAGCCCTGGGAGGGTCAGAAGCTTCTGTGTACACGTACAAGGTGTTGTGATCAGGTGGGGGTAATTGACATATCCATCCACTCTTCTCTGTGTTGGGAACATTTGAAGTCCTCTGTTCTATTTCAGAATATACAATTAAGTTGGACATCATGTTAGTTTCACATATTCTTGGGAGTAAGGTATCCCCATTCCTCACAGTGACAGTGCCCATGGGGAGTGGTCTTCTCTCACCTAAGGATTATCAAGCACTGCTTTAGGACTGTCTGTCCAGGGTGTGCCCAGCCTGCCCTCTGTGTGATCATCCTCAAACCTCAAGTGTCACATGTCGCCTCTGAGACAAAGACCAGAATTGCGTGTAGAGCACAGGAGCCTCCCACCCTCCAGCCACCGCTGTCATTTGACAGATGGAAAATGGAGGGGATGGGACTCACCCAGGGTCATTGCTGGGTGGTGACAGCCCAGGGACCAGAACAGAGGCCTGGTGCCCAGGGTGATCCTGGGTACTGCATCTTCCCTGGCTGCTGTTTCTGTGGTGCAAGGGGAGACCTTGCTGGGAGAACAGTGATCTCTGGGAAGAGATGGCCAGCCCCCTTTTGCTCTTGTTATGCCTTTGACCTTGCGCCTCATAACCTCAGTGTACTCGGCCCTTATTTGACAAACACTGTGTGGCTCAAATTGAAAACAACAGAAAATGATGATGACTGTGATATAGGCTCCGCCCTCTAGGAGTGAGCTGGGGCTGAAGAGCACATAGGTGAGCCAGGCTAAGGAGCCAGGACCGAGGTGAGCAGGCAGCAGAAAGGGGTGGTAGTGGAACCAGGACTGGGGCTTCAGGGGGAACCTATCAGGGATTCATTTGGGTGGGGCTTGGCTTGGAAGCTAGACCTGATGTCTCAAGACCAGCTGTGGGATCCTTGTCATTACCTGGGCTTGGTAGTCCCACATGTGGAATCCAGGTTCCCCTGGAACCTGTGCTGAGCAGATTCTCCCTCCAGCCCTGGCCATTGCTCAGGGGTCTGTCTGCACTGGATCCCAAGACTCTGGTGGGAACCACCTTAGGAGGGGCATTGCTTTGGGGAAGCTTGGTGTGGGAAAGGGGTGAAGAAGAGGTGTGAGAGACATAGATCCAGTCCCCTTAATGTCTCTTGACCCCAGAGGTGTCCAGGGTGCCTGGCAACTGGCTCCAGGTATGAAGAGAAGTTGCTGATGACTGAGTTAGAGGGAGGGCAAAGATGAAAAGCTGGGAAGCTGGAATACTTAGAAAATCACTCCAGGGGAGAAGTAATTTTTGCCCTGCAGGGTCAGAGAGCTGGCTGGAGACTTGTCAGGGTCAGGCAGCAATCCCTTTGTTGGAGCCCAGCCCCCACCCTGGGACCCTCCCACTGCTGCTGAGGCTGAGGAGCAGAGAACTTGACCCACCTGGCAGCCAGCTTGACCCACCCAGCCCCCAGCTTTGCAATAGCTGACAGCAGCCAGGTGTCCAGAAGAGGGGCACCAGCAGCCAAGGGAGCTGGGAGGCCTGGATGCTTCCTACAGTAACCATCTTCATGGCCTTGAGTGGGCAAGGTAGGGTCAGACCGAAGTCAGGGACTGTGCAGTGGCATCTGGGTGTCAAAGGTGTGTTTGTGGGAAGCTGCCTCATTCTGATCTTTGGATGGCCAAGCCCAAGGAAAAGAGAATCTTAAAAAAAGCCTGTGCCTCAAGGAGAGACCAGATCAAACTCCGCCATAGGCAGAGCTGAAGTCCATCCAGTGTGCGGCCACTGGCGAGGCCACCCCCTCCACAGGCTTCCTGGCAGCAAGAGTTGTTCTCGGGGTCTGAGAGCACCCTGTCTTCAAAGGGGGTGCAGGGCTTCTTGGTGAGGAGACATGGCTATTTTTGGATCCTGAGCAGGCTGAGGACTGCTCTTCTCAGGCAGTGAAGTCTGGGAGCTGTGGAGACTGGGAGGGAAGAAGCCTTTGTGTTTCCTGGTGCCTCAGTCCCCCCGTGGGGTGAGATTGGAGGTTCTAAGATCTCCTTAGTTTTGACCTTGTCAAAGCCTGGAAGGGGGCTTCCACTCTGGGTTTCCCAGAGAGGATGTAGGAATGCCATAGTTGCTGATACCGCCATTCCTGCATCCTTCCTGTGGGGAGATGGGATGGGGCCTGTGTCACCCTCAGCCTCCTCCATGAGCCTTTGCTGCCCTGGTCACAGAAACACCAAATAAAATCCTAACCCTGACCCTCCTTGTTTGAGGGGCTCTGGGTTTTGAGGGGCTGGCCTTCTTGGGCCTGAGTGACCTGTCTGAGAGATGATAAGTGAGGCCAGTGCTCTCTCAGCCCTTCCACCATGACTTTATCAGCTGCTAGAGCAGGAGGGGGACAGCCAGGTCCCACCCTGCCTCCAGAAGAGGGCTTCATGGCACTAGGCCCTGGTGCCCAGATGGGGCCAGAGGGATGGGGCTTTCTCAAGCCTTCGACACTTTCCTCTTAGCCCGGGCTTCTCTCAGGCCTTGTCCCACATTCTCCACGCGGGTGTGATCAGTATCTCTCCCCACTGTCCTGTGGGCCTCTTCCTCTCAGGTTGGAACCACAGGCTCTGGACCCTCCTTCTCACCTTCTGTGTTCTGCGCCTCCTCCCTTTCCTTCTCACGCTTTCACACTGGGGCGGGGATGACATTCATGCCCGGCTTTTACCCGCGTCTTTCATCAGGACTCAGGAGGTCAGAAAGCCCCAGTGCCTCCTTGCAGGTAATGGAAGGGTCTGAACAGTTGGCCTTTGGTCGATGTCTCTGCCCAGGCTACTGCTCAGGGCTCCTGACTCCCAGCACCCGCCTTGCCTCACCAGCCCTCTCCCCACCAGCCACCCTTTGCCCCTGTCCAGCCTCTCTGCAGATGTCCCTGAGGTGGAGGTGTTGGAGCAGGAGCTGGCCTGGCTGAAGGAGCACCTGTCCCAGCTGAACTCCCCTGTGGTATTCTGTCACAACGACCTACTTTGCAAGAACATCATCTATGACGGTGCCAAAGGTAGGGCCAGGTGGTGGCAGGGTACGGGCTGCAGGCCCAGATGGCTTTAGAAGCCTGTCCCTCAGGCTGGCACCTGGATAGGCACAAGGTCTGAGTTTGTATCCTAAATTAATTTTTAAGAGATAAGAGGGAAAAGGAAACAACTTGCAATTTGGAAAAAGCCTGTCACAAAGAATTACTCAAAATCATGATTAGGGGGATCCTCCCGATTAGGGCACCCATACTTTCTACTTGACCATTCTTGGAGCTTCTGTGGACAGTGACTGCCTGAAGCCATCAGAATGAGCCTCCTGTTGTTCCTAATAAGTGCTCCTCAGGGACACTGCTGTCCTTCTGCATGTACTGGAGGTTTTTTTCCTCAAAGATAGCAAAATGGAGGGTGCTCAGGTTTTTCATATAAATGACACAATGTTTGCATTAACTTATGCAAATCCTCCAGTACATTTTTTATTTTATTTTATTGTGTGTATGTGTGTGTGTGGCCAGCTCAGCCCACCAGGGGGCAGGGCTGGCTGGCATGTGGTGCTGGGGGACTGAACCGTGGTCCCTGTGCTTTGCTAAGCTTGTTCTAAGTAGGTGCTTTAGACCACTGAGCCATCTCACCAGCCCCCTCCAGTACATTTTAAACCATCTGTATTATGGTAGTAATGTGGTGTAAACATCATGTAAGTAGTTTTGTGTCTTGTTTAGGGGAGTGACGTGGAAAACTTTCATACATGTTTAAATCAAATTCAGTTCTTTTCCCAAATATTTTCAATCACAGGAGTGGAACCTGCACATCTGGAGGGCCAGCTGTACTTAGCTTTTTTTTTTTTTTTTTTTTCAGAACCGGGGATTGAACTCAGACCCTTGTGCTTGCCAGGCAAGCACTTATTCTACTGAGCCATCTCCCCGCCCCTACTTAGCTTTATTTCTGATCTTTAGCTATGCTGAGGACAGCAGCCTTGAGACAGGAAGAGCCTAAGGAACAAGTTATGCAAGAAGGATGGCAGGAGCTGGGGGAGGGCAGAGGGACACGTATCCAGGTGCAAGTAGCTAAGAGGATTGCTGCAGAAGCCTGCAAGAAGCTGGGTGTGGTGATGCGCACCTGTAATCCCACCACTCAGAAGGCTGAGGCAGGAGGACTGTCACGTGTGAGGCCAGTCATGGCTACATAGTGAGTTCAAGGCCAGCCTGAGGCACACTGTGAGACCTTGTCTCAAAAGCACCAGTCCAGGGGCCAGGGAGATGGCTCAGTGGAATAAGCACTTGCTGGCATGTGCAGGGGCCTAAGTTCAATCCTTCGTCCTGCCAAAAAAAAAAAAAAAAAAAAAAAAGTCCAGAGCTAGCAAGGCTGAGTTGGTACATCCTGCAGGCCTGCATAAGCTTGACCAGGCTCTCCTTCCAGATGAGCTCACTCCCCTTGGCCTCTCCTCTGCTCCTAGGTCATGTGCAGTTCATTGACTACGAGTACACTGGCTACAACTACCAAGCATTCGACATCGGCAACCACTTTAACGAGTTTGCAGGTAAGGAGGGATTGCTATCTGCCCCTACTAATGGCCCTTCCCTGTGCTGGAGACTAGGGTCATGGGGTGATCTCGAGGTGAGTCTGGACTTGGCAGGTAGAGGCCAGAGAGCCCCTGTCCTGCACAGTGTCTCAGCATGATGGGGGAGCCACAGCTGCCCACCCCATGGGGAATGCAGGACCCGCACGTGCAGCGGACCTCTGCCAGGATTCTGGGGATCCCAGCATGTGATCTGGAAAATGACCCCTTCCTCTGGGCAGATATGGCCAGCCTCCACTCACCCCTCCTCCCTGTTTCGTATCAACCTATACAATTGAACATGAGGGCCCTGCGTGCAGATATGGGCAGAGCAGGCTGAAAGTAGCTGTTTGCCTGGTGGCCTGAAGAGAACAATCTAGGTGAGAGGAGGTAAATCTTATCTTATGTAGCTCAACTCCCCAAGTCCAAATCCAAATCCTGGTTACAGACCCTCTCCATGACCTGACAAACAAAGATGATACGGACACCCACTTCATGAAGTTGAATAACACAAACTCTCATGCGCGGCACATCTGCGCATCAAATTAAGAGTTTGCTGTTATCAGGCTAAGGAGCCTTGCTGCAGTGGCCAGGGAGGCTGAAGCAGGCAGGAAAGGGGTTGGGCGGGGAGGGCAGGCAACCCCGAGGGGTTGGTAATTGTTCTGTGAATGCAAGATATACACGCAGAACCATTTATGTAAAAGAAGCAGGCAAGTTTTACAGCTTGTTCAAAACAAGTAGGACCAAGGAAGATGTTCAGATGGAGCTGGGCACAGGGGCCAGAGGGACATCCCCGGGCTAGCAGGGAGGTCTCAGCATGGCTAGCTCCTGTGGTAATGGACAGGTGAGGTGCACATGGGACAATTGTGGGACCACCCCTCAGCTCAATCCAAGCCAATCTCGTCCCTTCTGAAGCCCTAGGTGACAGTTTGCCAAACACCAACTGAGCCCAAGGGCACAGCTCCCCAGGGCAGTGAGCAGCTGTATCTAGGAGCCTGAGGGGTGTTGGGGCCTCAGCTGGGCTGAGCAGAGGTTAGCACGGGCTGGGAACCAGGCCGCAAATTCTCGGCTTCCAGGCCCATTGGCCTTTCTAGAAGGGCTGATTCCTGAGCATTGTAAGTCCTGCTTACAACTGCATAGGGCAAAGTACAAGTGGAATTTCTCCAAAGAGGCTGGCTGCATCCCACTGCAGGTGGGAGTGGCGGATAGAGAGGAGACTGAACTGGAGTCTGGGGTCTTAGGCACCGAGAACCAGGAAGTAGGTTCTGGGCACTGGGAAGTTAAGAGCCCAACCCGGGGCCCTCCTCTGTCTGCCTGTGTCACTGGGGCTGGCTTCCTCCCTCAGAACTGAGTACTTCTCAGGGACAGACAGGAGGGACGCTCAGGAAAAGCCCTTGGGGAACATGGCCTGCTCTTGGTCTTGGTCTTAAAACACTTCTTTGCATACTGCCCCTGAAACCAGCGTCTCTGCCATCATACCCAGGATATGTCGGGTGGCCCTGGGTGGCAGCTTGAGGACTTCTAGAAGGTGGTGCTGGGAGGAGCCACTGCTGGTGGGCCAAGCCTGACTGTTGCAACCATCCAGAAGCCGGGCTGGGCTGAGGTCGGTGTGCTCCGAGTGGTGTTTTCAAGTAACTGGCAAATGCTGCTCAGAGAAGCAATGTTTGACATTCTGCACTAAGTCTAGCTCCCTCCTTGAAGGATTTGGGCCAGTGAGGAGAGGCTTTGTCCGGGGGTTACCTGGAGCCCGGCCTGAGACAGGCCAGCAGTGCTGACTGGGCTTCCCCCAGTGCCTTCTGTGTATGCCCATCCCTAGATTACAGGGCCGATTTGTTTTTCAGTACTGGGGGTTTAACCCAGTAGTGAGTTACCACTGAGCTATGTACATCTCCAGCCCTTTTTAATTTTGAGACCAGCTCTGGCCAAGTTGCCCAGGCTGATCTTGAACCTGAAATCCTCATGCCTCAGCCTCCTAAATTTCTAGGATAATAGGTGTGTGCCACCCAGAACAGTGCCTTACCCCTATGCCAGTCTCAGCCCCAGCAAAGCACTGGTCAGAGCAGCTGTTTTTCTCTGAGGGCGGCCTCTGAGACACAGCCCAGAAGGAGAAGCTCCGGTGGCAGCCCCAGCCCCTCTGTCTGACCTGCCTCCCACCAGGTGTGAACAGCGTGGATTACAGCCGCTATCCTGCGCGGGAGACCCAGCTGCAGTGGCTGCGTTTCTACCTCCAGGCGCAGAAGGGCACAGCTGCGACCCCTCGGGAGGTGGAGCGGCTCTATGTGCAAGTCAACAAGTTCGCCCTGGTGAGCGCCTGTGGCGGCCTGGCCGGGGAGCTGCGCCCAGCTGCCCCCCTCCTGTCCGCTGCCCAACAAAAGTATTACCCAGAAAAATCTCAGCTTTGTTTGTTCACAGTTCTGTTGGGGAGAATGAGCAGTTCTTTCCCCGGTCTAACTTCTGCCTTTCCTGTTGCATTTAGACCCATGCTTTCTGTTCTTCAGCCCCTGGAGGGCATGGCGTGCCAGGTTCTAACCCTCCCTCTTACCACGCAGACTCAGCTCAAGTCTACCTTTTCCAGCAGGCTTTTCCTGCTCCCATCCCTGAGCCTGAGCCTGAGCCTTCGGGTCTCACCTGAGTGCCCCCTGGCCAAGGAAGCTGGTCCTTGTGGGTCTCCACTGGTCTGGTCCTCTAGATTGCTGTCTTATTGTCAGCAACGCATAAGCGAGACAAGTCAGCTGCCCAACATTTCATAACACATAGTGGAGCTTCCTAAGATCCGTCCTCTTGGTGATCGCAGATTCTGTCTGTTCTCACTGGCACAAAGCAGGCTCTGCCTTAGCTTGTCCTCCTCAGCGTTCCAGGTTGCGGTGAAGCACAGGTGTTCTTGCTAAGGTTTCAGCAAAACCACTGTCACACCTGCTAGTGCATCTAAGCCCCTTGTAAGTCATGAAAAGGACTAGGCAAAGGGACTTTGTAGCTAACCCAAGCATGCAACTTTAGGATGGGGCAGGAGAGACACGGGAGGTAGGGTCCCCTGAGCTCAGAGTGGTGGTTGGCTTGGGCAGTCAGGAAACATGCCTCTCTGGCTCCGAAGAAAGCAAAGCTAATGCTCAGTAAATGCCCACAGCTGAAACTTGTTTCCAGGTCTGGAGTGTTTCCTACCCAACTGGGGAAGGGGTAGGTCACTTTAGGAGGTCTTCCAACTACCCAGAGCCCTAGTGTCCATGCTGCCCATGCTCCTCTGGTCTCCCTGTACCCACTGGAGTGCCAGGCACTAGCCCATGCCCTTGACCTGAAGACTCCTAGGCTCCCCCATGTAGGGAAGAAGCTGGCATGGAGTGCACCCACTTGGTCAGGCTAGAGCCGCCTGAGGCCCAAGGAGCAATGCTGTCCAGCTCTACCCTTGGTGGCCTTGAGCTGGGGTCTCTTTGTTCCTTTCTGGTAGTATGGAGAAGCCCCCAGACCAAACGCTGTGCAGTGGCTTGGCCTTGACAGCCTTCCCCCTTGTCTCTGCCAGGGCCTGAGCTCTGTGTCTTCCAGAGCCATCCTGGGCCCTATAGGGGGCGTGCCAGGCATCAGCAGGGCCAGGCTGACCACTGTGGTCTGTTTTCAGGCCTCCCACTTCTTCTGGGCCCTCTGGGCGCTCATCCAGAGCCAGTACTCCACCATCAACTTTGACTTCCTCAGGTGAGCTGCTGGGCCAGGTGCAGTGGTGGGGTGAGGTGGGGTAAGGACCTTTGAGCCAGGGTGTGGGGACAAAGGACATTCTAGACACCATGATGCCTGGAGGCCCCTCCTCTGCTAAGCTGGCCCCACTGCATTTCCAGTGTGATCACAGATCTAGGGAGGCCAGGGAAGCACCCCAGATAGTGCTCATGCCCACCACTGTCCAGTGGGAGGTCCCACCCCCCCTACTTTCTGTTCCCCACCCCACTGCCAGAGCCTAATGGAGATGGTGATGCCCCCTGCAAGGACTTGGACCCACCAGCTCCTCCATGGCACTCAGTGATACTGGGGACCATACCTCGCCTGTCCTTGACTACCAATGCTCCAGGGAACCCTTCATTTTCAAATATAAGTGTGACTATAGGCCAGGAATCATTTTCTGCTGCAGTCTGCTTGTCCTTGAACCCATCCAACCTCAGCTGAAAGAGAAATCACCACCCTGGCTCCCAGGTCTCACACCCATTGGGAAAATGCAGGCCTGAAGACCAGTGAGATACTGCACCTACACCAGTCAGGATATCAACTATTGAAAAAATAAATGAAATCTGGCTGGGTATTGTGGCATATGCCTGTAATCCCAGCACTCCAGCACTCAGGAGGTTGAGGCTAACCTGTGCTACAAAATAAGTTCAAGACAGCTTGAACCACATACTGAGACTCTATCTCAGAAAACAAAACAAAAAACAACCATGAAGCTGAGCCTGGTGGTGCCTTCCTATTCTAGCACTTGGGAGGATTAGGATCACCAGAGCCAGCCTGGGCTCTACAGGAAGTTCAAGACCAGCCTCAACCACACAGTAAAATTGTCTCAGAAAACAAAAAAGAGGGGCCGGCCATATAGTTCAGCGGATTAAAGCACCTGCCAGGCCAGGGATTTGATCCGCGGCCCACCAGGCTAGGGCGCATTGAGACTGGGCATGGTGGTGCATGTCTGTAAGCACTGGGAGGTTCAAAGCAGGAAGATCTCTTGAGTCCAAGCTGCAGAATGAGACCCTGTACCAAATACATAAAAAATGAAAAAAAAAAAAAAATCACACAAAAAAAAAAAAATTTCACCATGTGACCCTGAGAACCCTGCTTCTGGGGATACATCCAAAAGAACTGAAAGCAGGGTCTAAAAGAAATGTTTGTATACCCATGTTCCCAGCAGCATTCTTGGGACCTAAGAGGTGGAAGCAGTCCCAGTGTCCCTTCATTGATGGGTGGATGGCTTACAATATATTTTTGTCTTAAAAATGAAAAGGTCAGGCCTGGTGACAGACACCTAATCCCAGTACTCGGGAGGCTAAGGCAGAAGCATCACTTTGGAGTTCGAGGCCAGCCTGAAGTACATAGCGAGAGCCTGTCTTAAAAAAAAAAAAAAAAAAAGGCTAACACATGCGCACCATGGATGGATCTTGATGTTATTCTAAGGGAAACTAGCCAGTTACAAAAAGATAAGTATCATATGGTTCCACTGGTTTTAAGGGATAACTATGTCAAATTCGTAGAAACAGAAAATAGGATGACAGCTATAGGGCTAGGGTAAGGGGCAAGGGGACTGTTGTTTAATGGGTAGTTTGTTTTGCAAGATGAAAAAGTTCTGGAGATTTCCTTGCGCAACCACACAAATACCAACATTACAGATCTGTGAAAACAGAACTCTGTGCAAACATGTTTGCTGAAGGATTGCTCCAGTCTGATCTAAGAAAATCTATTTGAAACTTTAAAAAATCAATCTGGGCCAGGACGGACCTGCCTAGAGCTAGATGGGCTTGGAGCAGCTAAGACACCCTCCCCAACTCCCGTCTCACACCTAGCTTCCTTTCCGGCTGATGGCAGGTACGCAGGGATCCGATTCAACCAGTACTTCAAGGTGAAGCCTCAAGTGTCAGCCTTGGAGATGCCAAAGTGACCCGCTCCCCAATCCTCTCCTACCCGTCTGTGTAGCTCTGGGGTCTGCAACCTCGGACAAGAGCGGAGAGGGGACAGGAAGATGCCAGGAAGAAGGCCCCCTGGTGGATGCCACCTAAGACCTCATTCTCCTGTCTGGAGAGGCTGACAGACCCCATCGCCAGGGGCTCCTACACCTCTCCAGGCTGGGAAGGAAGTGCCTGCAGACCGCCAGGGCCAGGGCCACCTCTGCTCCAGAGAAGCACACTATTCCCAGCCCTAGGCCTGCTGGTACTGGGCTGCCTTAGATGTGTCTTTGACCCTTCCTGGCAGGGGAGGGAAGGGTCCTTTCTACCTCCGCTGCGCTACCCCAGCCTCCAGCGTGCCCACACCTCCCTGTGCCAGGCCCCACATGGGAGATGCTGAGCCCCAAGCCAACCTCTGGCCAACCCTGACTGCTTAATGTCCACAGTCTAGGGAAGGGACCTGGAATCTAACCCGGTGGCTACAGCTTCCTGGCCCAAGCCCGCCCTCACGCCCAGACAACACCTTTTTCCCAAGCTGCAGACAGAAAATAATTCCTTCCACGCTGTTCTCTGCAACCTGCTGGCGAGGCAAGGATGTGGTCAGGCTGACCCTCCAAAGCCTGGCTCTTGTGGCTTGGCAGAGGAGACATGGCTAAGGGTAGAGAGGCTGGTACCAGGGCCTCCCTCCCAAAGGTCTGCTCCCTATCTTTACCTTTCATCCCAGAGTTGACCCAAGATCTTCCCACTTGGGAATGACTGACTGGGGTCCAGAAGCAGGAGACCAGGGGTGTTGGTCCTTCACACAGGGACCTGGGCAGGACCAGATCATGAAATTGCCTCCATCTCCCTTCTGTCCTCAAAACTTCTCCAGGGTCCTCCTGGCTCTGGCTCATGAAAGTGTCTCATTTGTAAATTATCATGGTTTTATGCATTAAAGTGCTCCTTTCTGGACTGCTGAGGGACAAAGGGGGAGGGGGACTTGGCTTGGGATTAGTATCCCTGCCAGAGGGGCTGCAGTGCGCTCCACCCTCTGCCCTCAGGCTGACGTCACTCTATGCTTCTTCACCCCTGGCCCCAAGAACCCCGAGCCCCCAGCGACCTAGGCAAGGCTGTTCTGGCTTTAGTTTCTTGTTCAGAATCAGCTGGCTGTGGTAGCAGGATTCAGGTTGTGGTTAAAGGAACTGAGGGAGGCTGTGGAGCCCACCAGAGTGAGTGCTTCGCACCACCCCTGCCCGCTCTGGCTCCCAGATTTTGGAGCAGAAGAGGTGCGGCTTTTCCTGACATGGGCATGAGTGACTGCTGGACCCAGTCTGTCCCTTTTGCGGGCAAGCTGGAAGAGCAGAACATCAAAGGTGAAAATATATCCAGGCCTGAAGGGCCCCAGTGCTAACAGCAGAAGCCACCTGCCAGGTGGACTCTGGTTTTTTTTTGTTTTTTTTTTTTTTTTCTTTCTGGTTTGGCTTTTGCCTGCAGATGTGCCACGGTGCCATGGCAACCGCTGGACCTCGTGCAGGCACAGTGCCATCAAGGTCACCGTGATCCAGAAGGCTGCTCCTAGACAACAGGGCAAAGATGAGGGAGGGGGGCCTGCTGATTATGGAAGACCGGGGTGACTCCGGGGCTGAGGGCAGAATTGGGCCACTGTGAAGCTAGCTTCATTTCCAGCCCCCCTGGGGTCTGTAAGTCACCGCAGGGAGGTGAGACAGAGCCCCTGGGGCATTACCTGGCTCACCATCTGCATTAGTGGAGTTCATCCCAGGTCCTCTCCCAGCGCCTTTATTGACAAACACCTCCATTTCTTTGATCCTGGGGGGTAGTGGTGAAAGACCCCTTTCCTTCAGAGCCTGAGCCCTGCCCCAGGCAGGCTGGCTCCCTGGCTCAGTGCCCTTCCCCCACCCCACCCTCACCCCCACCACAAGCTCCAGGGGGCAGAGGACAAGCTTGTGGCCCAACTTCCTGGTAAAAACGACCAGGACACACTGTTCCCAGCCTCTGCAACCCACCTGACCCGATCCTGCTTCTCGTGGGGGAGGGGGGGCGCCAGCCAGGGAGGACTCAGGGTTGTGCAGCTGGAAGGAGGCCCGCAGGACACAGGCATCTGCGGTGCCTTTGCAAGTGCTGCCCCGCCCCCGAGACCAGAGACGACCTGGAAACCCCGGCTAAGAGTGGGTTCCCAGGAGGCCACCAGGACGCAGAGGGTGAGGGAAACCAGCAGTTTGGCTCGAAAACCGCTAGGGGGCAGCCAGGAGGAAGGCACGGCCAGCCCGGTGGCTTTTCGGCAAGAGCCCAAGCATTCCCAGGAACAGCTGCACATTTGCGGGAGGGAAGGGGCACCCGAGGGCTGGGCTTGGGCCAGGGAGATGGCTCAGTGGAATAAGCGCTTCCCTAAGGGCCTGAGTTCAATACCTGGTTCCACAAAAAACAAACAAACAAAAAAGAAACCGAACAGTAAGGGACCCCAGTTCTACAGGATTCTACTCCGAAACCTGGAATCCAGCACGATGACTTGTGAGGCCAGTACTGAAGCCTCTGCTTCAATACATCCTGTGTCTCCATGAGTGGCGGGGCATGCTGGCACACCCCTGTAATTCCAGCACTCAGGAAGCTACGCCGGGAAGATCTCTGAGTTCAAGGTCAACATGAACTACATAGTGAGAGCCTCTCACGAGAAAAAAAAAAGCATCCTGTGTTCTTTTCCAGAGCATCTGTGTAAAAGTAGGTAAGCCACAAGCCCACCCTCACCTCCTAGCTATAAAGAAGCCATCTTGTCCTGCCCACCCGATCCTAGTCCACTGTCTGGACTAAACCACCTATCCTGTTAACCACTTCAACAAAGTCACAGCCACCAGGCCCCCTCCGTGCAACACAGTGCCTGCTCCTCCGCCTCAGTGAGTAACGGCCTTTCCTAGGGAACAAATGAAAAACTGCCACCAGAGGCAGCAGTGAGCCCTGGCACCTCCTGATTGAGAAGGTTAAGCCTTTCTTAATCCGTCCCAAGTTGCTTTTTGTGTTTGTTTGTGCAGGATCTCACTACACAGCCCACATTAGTAGTGATCCTCCCGATATCTGCCTCCCAAGTGCTGGGATTACAGGCGCGCGCTACCAAATTGCTTTTACAAGAATGGCCTTCGTTAGGCTGGGGAGATAGCGCAGTAGAATAAGCCCTTGCCTGGCAAGTGCAAGGCCCTGAGTTCAATCCCTAGTTTTCGGGGGGGGGGGGGGGGGGGGGGGGGGGGGGGGGGGGGGGGGGGGGGGGGGGGGGGGGGGGGGGATGATGGCCTTCCCTGTGTTCTCTGCACTGATGGTTTACATACATTTGGGAGAGTTTCATTTCCATCCTACCCCTTTAGGCCCCTTATTTCCCTGTGACAATGAAGCTTTTGAAATTGTCCTTCAAACCTAAGGCCGTGGAGCGACTGTTTTAACAGGTCCTGGGGGGCTACTAGCTCAGAAATGGGCTCCCGGAACCTGCCTCCAAGCCTATTAATGGGATGCGCCCACTGTTTGCTTTGGATGCTCAAAGAGCGGGAGGATAAGAACACGAAGTAGTGTAACACCCTTGTTATACGGCGCAAACAGTGGACAGTGAGAACCGAAGGGGATGCTGACGCCACGCTCCCTGCCCCTGCCCCTGCCCCTGCCCCTGATTCTGGGGCCTCCCGGGCCCAAATCACTTCTTCCAGGCGCCGCGGCTGTAGCTCCCACCGGCCACCACCAGGGGGCTGCAGTGCCCAGGCTGCTGGCGCTAAAGGATTTCTCCCCGCTTCGCCGAAGGGCCCATTCTGAAACGGTCTGTCTTTATTATGCCACCAGAAAACAAATATGCTGGTTAAGTTACTCATTATCTCATTAACAAAATAAAGCACTATCTATGTTTACAGTCATAAAAAAGAAACAGCCTGGAAAAAGGAGGTGGGGGAGGGCAGGAGATGGGGGCCAGGCCCTGAGGGATTAGGGGGTGCCAAAGTGAACTCCAGCTGTTGGAGACCTTGGATCAGGTGCCCCTGGGACTGATGCTGTTGGGGAGCACAACTGGGCAAGCCAGTGGGGAGCCGGTCCCTAGCGAGGGGAAGCTGAGTTTTCAGGAAAAGGGGAGCCACTGGCCCCCAACTCAGGAGGGAGAAATGGAGACCTGCTGCCATGGGGTCCTCACTGGGCCTCTTGTCACAGACAGAGAAGGGGCACTATCAATTCTGCCTAACTCCTGGAACTCGGCCAGGCGTTGGGCACCAGGACAAAGCCCCATGGAGCCTGAGGCCACACTTACCCTGCTTGGAGCTAAAAATGGCTCCATGGGAACTGACAAAGAGTCTGGAGGAAGATCAGGAGGGCTGATGAGCCCAGGGGCAGGGGAGTGAGGAGGGGAGGGTCCGGGGGCCCACAGGGACCCAGAAAATCCAGAGGGCATGGAGGGCAGGGCCAGAGCCCCGAGCAAGGGAGACAGAGAGGGCATTGCAGAGAGAGACAGGGACAGAGGTGCACATGAGGACACACAGAACCTGAGACACCCAGACTGACAAAGAGGTAGCAATTTGGGGACGAAGAGAAGCACAGAAGAGGCCCCCAGAGAAGCAACAGTGGCCGGCACATAGTGGGTACGCAATAAATACCTGGTGCAATGAATGGATGAAGACACACACATACACGCACACACTCCACACGCACACACCAGCAATCAGAGGCACGAAGGGATTAACAGAAACAGAGGGACAGTCAGACCCTTTTGCATTGAGCACAGAGCGATTGTGGTGACAAGAGTGACCTGGGTGTGCATGTGGGAGAGGGTGTTGGTCCCACAGGACAAGCATGGAATCAAAGCATGTGCCTCCGGGGGACAGATGTACAGCTGTCACACCCCGGGGTGGGGGATCTGCCAGAGGTAATGGCCACCCAGTGTGCCCTGCAGGAACCAAGGAGCTCAGCCAGCTTGCCCATTACTGCTGTGGGTGTCTCTGGGGAGGAGGGCTCTCCCTTTGCCAATTTATCTACTCATGCACAGCCAGACCAACCCCGGGCGTCCCAAGTCCAAGTACCAACACAGTCCGGGCCAGCGGGCTAGGCCCACAGGTGGGGCAGGGAGGGCCAGGCTGGCACCGACTCAGTCTGTGAGCACCACCAGCTCCCCGTCACTCTTCTCTTCACCCTCGGAGTCCTCGTCCCCGCTGTACCGGTACATCTCACCGTCGGCCACCGAGTGCCTGTCTTCGGTGCCCTCTCCCTCCTCCCTGAGGCTGCAGGTGTTGACGATGACAGGCATGTTGGGGTCCAGGCTCTGGGGGACATAGTGCTCCACCAGTGGCTGAGCCAGGGGCACACCTGCTGCCCGGGGGTACAGGACATCTGAGGAGCTCATCTGTACCTGGCCAGCCTGTGAGCTGAGAGACAGATGGAGCATGTTTGGGGGAACCACTGGCACCTCCACCCCAGCCCACCCCCACCTGGCTCTGAAGCACACCATGGTCCCTGGTCTCTCCTGATGGCCAGATTCACTGTCAGCTACACAGCTCTAGGGAGTGTTTTTGGGGAATCACATGTGGGTCTAATTTGGGGCAGTTTTAGGTACCCTGGGGACCCACTAGGGTGCCTGCTTGGGGCAAGAACCTTGCTGTAGAAAGAGTGCGTTTAGCACCTCTGAACTTGTACGGGCTCTTCAGCAGTGGGCTCTCCAGGCACGTGCCAGTCCCACGCCACTCAGGCGCACGTCAAACACACAGGTGTGGTCCATCACCCAGCACATAGCACCTCAGCACGTGCACAGGCCAGCCACACACACCCCGCTGCTGGCACCCGCGGTGGGCCTGCTCACGGGATCACGTAGCTCTGGCGGGCATCCTGCCGGCGGGTCCTCATCAGGGCCTTGTATTCGCCCACACGCAGCCGCTTGCCCTCCACGATGCAGGTGCGCTTAGGCCGTGGCTTGTACTTGTAGTCTGGGTACTTCTCCAGGTGCTGCCGGCTCAGCCGTGCCTGCTCCTCATAGTAGGGCTGCTTCTCCTGGTTGCTCATGGACTTCCAACGGGAGCCTGGCCCACACCCAGGGCAGGTAGTCAGCGCTGGGCTCTGCTGGCCACTTCTGGCCCCAGCAAGCCCTGGCAGCCCGCAGCCCCAGGAAGACTGGTCCCCAGGTGGTCAGTAAGATGATACAGTATAGTACAGGCAGCCAGGCGCAGAGGAAATGGACTGAGGTCGGGTATCTGGCTGTCAGCAGGCTGCACCTCCCACATCGCCAGCCACCCAGCAACCTCCCCCACCAGGCCTCTGCCTCATTTGCATCAAGAAAAGAATAGCCACCCAGGCCACCAATGATTGGAGGCAAGCCCAGACACACAAAAGCTGGGTTCAGGATAGCTAGGGCCGCACCAGCAATGCACTCCCAAAACAGGCAAGCACAGAGGTCCTAGGTTCGATCCCCAGGACCACAGAAACAAAACAAACCACGATGGCATCTCAGACAAGCGACTAACCTGGAAGGAGCCCCAAGTCTGGCTTTTGGGTTTTTTTAGGTACGAGGAATCAAACTCAGGACTTTGTGCTTGCCAGGCAGGCACTGTGCTGCTGAGCTACATCTCCGGCCCAGAAGCCTCCTCAGTCTTGAAAACAACAGCTCTCTTCCAGTGCCATCTGCCCTGCCTGCAACCCCCTGCTTGGTGTCCAAAACCCTCATCATTTTTGGAATCTTCCTAACAGTGGTCTGAGAAGACCAATTTCTCCTGTTTTCTGCCCTGGACAGTTCCAGGGGTCTGGGCTGAGGGAGAACAGGTGAAGGCAAGTTGGGTGGGGAGTAAAGAACACACACAGGTGTTCTGACAGGGAGGTGCTAATGGCAGAGCACCCCAGGGTGAGGCCCCCAGGACTAAGTTACCCCTAAGTCCCCTGGCTCCTCTGCCAGATTCCACAGGTGTCCCACATGGCCCGGACATTGCAAGGCAAGGTCCAAGGAGGCAGCTAGCCCTGCAGCGAGATTTCACACCTGTGGCACTGGAGTCCCAGCGCCTGAGTGCCCCCCTCCTGGTCCTCACCAAGGATCTTGCTGATGCTGGAGTTGTGCATGTCCGGAAAGGCCTGCAAGATCTTTCTGCGCTCATCCTTGGCCCACACCATGAAGGCGTTCATGGGCCTCTTGATGTGGCTGTTGTTCCGGGACTCAGGGAAATGCCGGGAGCCTGGTGAACAGGAATAGGGTCAGTGACTGGCCAGGCAACTCATCTGCAGTGGGCTGGAGTGATACCCCGTATGACCACCAGGAGGCAGCGAGGAGGCGCCCGCAGCTGCTGCCCTCACCATCCATGTCACAGCTCAACATGGCTTCTTCCAGAGGGTGCACACAGCTCTCCTCCAGGCGCTCCTTAGCGGGCGATGAGTCCAAGTTGATGAGGTCCTGGGGTTGACAGTGACAACTTTCACATGAGCCTCCTCTGTCACACTCTACCCAACTTGCCCATCCCTTTTGTGGCCTCAGACTTTTGTCTTCCACTCCAGTGCCACCCCTCCTGGCCTCAGGGACAAGGGAATGGCTATACCTTGCGGAAGGGCGTGCTGGGGGAGCTGTCCAAGGCCCCGCTGTGGCTGTGCAGCAGCTGTCGGGCATCCTGGATGGCTTTGGTGACAGCATCCCCTTCACCCAGGAAGCCTGGAGAACAAGGAGGAAAAGAGTGGGAAGGAGACGTTCATCTCAGTCCGGGCCGAAACTCCTTCCACTGCATGCCACACCCCACATGATCATTTGGGTTCCAGTGCCCCCACCTCTCCTACCACACATACAGCTCACAGGGACAGCACACACAGTGGCTGCTGTCGGTGTCAACAGATGCAAGGTAGACCAGCACCCCAAACCAGGGAAAGGCTTGCTCCCCCTGGAGTCTCCCCTTAAGAGGCCACAGGACAGTGCAGAAGGCTCACCCAGAGGCAGGCTGGGCGGGCTGGGTGGCCGGTCCCGTGTGGCAGCTCCGTGGCTGGGGGGTCGGGGGCCACAAGAGCCCATCTTCAGACTGGGGGAGCTGGAGGTATTGGGCAGCTCGGGAGCCTTGGGCTTGGCTGTAAGGTTCAGGGGCTGGGAGGGCTCCTGAGGGACGTCCAGAAGGTCAGAGAGGGGGCACCGCAAAGAGGCGCCCCCCCACAGCACAGAGGAGAACACAGACCCACACGAGACAAGGGTGCCCTGGCCACACAGCAGAGAGGGGCAGGGAGCAGGCGAAGAGAAGGGCACCCAAGCGGCAGGCACAGGGCCCTACCTGCAGGGGGTGGTGGGCGGCCACAGCCCCTGGCCTCTTCACTATGGGCGCAGGGGGGCTGTGCAGCAACTGCAGTGCAGGGTACTCCACTGTGGAAAAGCGGCAAGGAGAAAAGCCCTGGATGAGCACAGAACAGCAGACATCTGCTTGGCGAGGTCCAGGCACCGCATTGGGGGCGGAGGCTCGGAGCTGGCCTGGCACTTCCAATCCTGCCCTCCTGGCCTGAAGTAAACACTGCTGGGACCCGGTTCCCTTCTCCCCAGGGCCCGTGAACCGACATCCGCATCCTTGCATCCTTGCCCCCACATCCTCACCCAGTGCTGCCCCTCCCAGCCACTCTGCAGTTCCCACGGTGCAACAAGGGAGGGAACACCAGGGCCTCATTCCATAGACACTGACATCCGTCCTGTTCCTACTGTGCGCAGGGTGCAAACAAAGCAGCCCACTGGGAGGTGCACCATGTGTGCACACAATCCCTCTAACAGTGTGCAGCACACAGTAGGTGCTCAATGCGTTGTTATGGATAAAGAGACCTTGAGGAGACCCCTGGCTTGCCCACAGAGCAGCAGCAGGGTTCAAAAACCCAGGTCCTCAGGACTACAGCTCCTTCTCCTCACCCTACCTGCTCTTCCACTTACCCTACCACACTCTCCCTCACCAGGCCCAGTGCCAAGGAGGCGGGGCAGCTAGAGAGAAGCCCTGGATAAAGATCACTAAGCACACGGCAGGGGCACAGGAGGCATGCTGCAGAACTTTGTCCCAGCCAGGTGGCCCCAGCAGGCTTCTCAGGAGTTGAGATCTGAGCTAGAGCCCATGTTGGGCTGGGGGTGGGGTAAGCATGAAGCTGAGGTCAGGGCAAGGTCAGACCCAGGACCTGAGGCCAGCTCAGGAGTTGGACTCCCCCCTGCAGGCCTCAGATGCCCACTAAGCTGGTGAATGCGGCAGGGGACCTGCAGCACAGGCTTCACTGCTGTGACACAACCTGGTGCAGTGATGGACAGCCGGTCTACACTGTCCCCAAAGCCAGTAACACACTCTGACCATCACCCCCGACTATGGTATTATCCTCAACTCAACGGTCTTGACAGCTGCCGCTGGATTCTGCCCCAGGCCAACGCCCTCTGCAGTCCCTACCACCCAGAGCCAGAGGACACATGCCATTCATGCTCAGCTCAGCTGCACCCACACCCTACAGTTGCTACCAGACACGTGGATCTCTAACTGCCCTCCCAGCCACATCCCTCCTGTGCCATGCCCCCCTCAACTCCACCATCACCTCACAGCTCCTGCCTCCGCCCAGGGCCTCTGACTGTCGCTCTCCACCCCCAGCTCCTGAGTGCCACCTCCTCGGGAGGCCACTGGACTGCACAGGACTGTTAACATTCCCCATTGCACCCCCGGCTGTCAGCGCCTCAGGCTCAGAGTTCCTACTTCATCACCCCAAGGCTTGCCAGCCAGCAAAGACATGGTGTGGGATACATGGTAACTCTGCTGAATTTCAGTGATGTGGCCATGGCAGGGGCAAGAGTGTGAAGTTGGAACCGAGGTTGCTGGGGGGGGGGGGGCGCTGGGCTGCAGTCACTATGCAAGATACCAACACTGGCATGTAAGTGTTCAGGATACAGAAGTCATCTTCCATCTGAAAGAACGCTGCGCTTGGACATGTGTGATTTTTATTCACCCACTAGATGCCACACTGCCAATGAACAGGTGAGAGCTGGTGGGGCTCCTCCCTGTCCTGGACAGCCAGCCTCAGTGGCAGCCCCTTCCCTCCCACGCTCACCTGGTTTGCAAGGGATGGGCTGAATGGGCAAAGCCAGCTGGGAGTCGGGGGTGACAGGCAGAGGCTGGTGGCTTGGGGGGAAGGCTGGGATCATGACATAAGGCATGTTGACCTGCTGAAGGCAAAGGACCCTGTGTGACCCAAACAGCTCCCCAACTGTGGTCTGCACAACAGAGGGTGGACACTTCTGACTGTTAGGATCCATGAGCCCAACCTCCCTGCCCTTTGGCCTCAGCTGTGGAGGAGGACATGCTGTAACCCCTTGCCCTTATAAGAAGCACACAAAAGGAAGGGGCTGGAGTTGTGAGAAGGGCCATCTTCAGGGCCAGGCTGACTGACTCGGCTTGCTTGGCATCCCTGTCCCCAACAGCTTTAGGGACTTCGGAGGCTGGTGTCAACCGGCCTCCTGTTCCAGGGCTCCCAGGCGAGCACCCCCTACCTGTATCTGCTGCTGAAGGAGGTTGATCTTATGCTGCTGCTGAATCAGCTGCTGCTGCTGCTTGGCGATCTGGGAGGGAGAGAACAGGCAGAGGGGTCCCGGGCACCAGCCTGGCACCCGCGGCACCCCAAGCAGGGCCCACCCCGCCCTTACCTGCTCCTGCTGCTGCCGGGCCAGCTCCATCTGCTGCTGCTGCTTCTCAAAGAGCATGGCGGCCATGTTCTTCTGCTCTGAGTGGGCCGTCAGGAGCTGGTCCCGCAGGGCAGACAGCTGGTGGATCATGACCAGAAGCTGCAGCTCCTTTTCTGCCAGGCTCTCTTGGGTCCCTGCTCCCCGGTGGAACAGCCACCATGGAGAGTTCTGGTTAGTTCACCTGTCCATTGGACGTTGCCTGGGCAGGTGCTGCATCATCCCAGGATCCTGTCAGGTTCATTTTACCAACCTCCCTGCACTTCAGGATGTGTTTTATTTGGGGTCTGAACCTAGGAGCCTCATGCATGCTAGGTAAGCATGTGACCCTGAGATGTATCTCTAGCCTTCCCCCACTTTTTAATTTTGAGGTAAGTTCTCAGTAAGTTGCCCAGCCTGGCCTTGAACTTGTAATCCTCCTGCCTCAGCCTCCTGAGTAGTTGATATTACAGGCATGCACCACCATACCCAACCAGGGTGTTTTTAAAAAAATCTACAAATGGGTATGGTAACAAGTGCCTCACCGGATTACTGGGAGGTGGAAGTGATGTAGGGAGAATACTTGGTCCAAAGTCTAGCATGCGGTCCTCCTTTGGTGCACATTAGCTCACTTAGTTTCCCTGCCCACTCATTTAGCTAATGTCCTTGGAGTGGACTCTTCCTCCTGCAGGCTGTGGGGCATCTGCCCCAGAATCACTCATGGTGCCCAGCCCCCCAGCTCCTGAGGAGTCTGCGTTGGCTTAATGCTGGGGGGGCAGGGGGAGACCACACTGGGAAAATGAGAGCTGAAGACCTGCAGGCAGCAGCCCTGCAAGTCGCTCCTACACAGCGCAGTCCCACGAGCCTCAGATTAGCTGTCAGAAGTAAAAGCGGGCTTTCTGCCCACTTTAGCCTGCCAAGGAGAATGACAAGCCTGATGTCACACCGTCCCTCCTCCAAGGCCAGATCCACATCCAAGGCACTGAGTCAGGCCAGACCTTTCCTATGTGGATATCAGCCAGATCTACCGCTTGAGGTCCCAGTGAGGGATGGTGACAGCTGCTGGGGCCAAGAAGATGCCAAGCAGCAAAAGACAGGTATGAGGGTACCAAGAACCACCCTGCCAGCCCAGAGGGAAAGGCCCCCTCACCTTTGACATCCTTGGTTTCCAGAGAGCTCCGTCCCAGAAACCTCTCCTTCCAGTCACTGGACAGTAGCTTCTCGATGGCTGGCACAACTGGAAGACACCGCGGGCTGAGGGGAGCCACCCTGCCACCTCCCCTTTGTTGCCTCTGCCTGGGTACCCCTCTTACCCTCCTGTAGGTTGCGGTTGAAGTCCAGCTTCTCCTGGCTTCCAGAGGCTGCCTCAGAGGCACCCGGTCGCTTTGGCTCTGGAGACCCGCTGCTTTCTGGAGAGCTACACTCCTGTGAGATACAAGGACTGGTCACCACACCCCAGAGGCATCCACCCAAGAGAACCCCAGGCTCTCCCCTGCCTCCTGCTCCACCCCAGGAGCCTCCATCTGTTCCTCAATCCCTGCTGGTCCCCTACCTGACACCAGGTGAAGGGCACAAGAGACCCAAGGACCGCAGGCCTGGGTACAGGCCAGGCTCACTGCTGGCTCCAGGGGCTCTACCCAACCCACGTCCCTGAACCTCTGAACCTCTGAACCTCACTTCCTTGCTGAAAAGGGACATGCTAACCCCTCCCAGATCACAGGAATGGCGCTGGGATCAAGAGATTTAAAGCTCGTGAGTGGGGTTTGCCTCAGCAGTCTGGGGCTCCAGGCCAGCTACCAGCATTAATCCTGGACACAGCCATGGCCCCAGCCCTGCCTCCCTGGGAAAGGCTGCTCCTCTGCCCACCAGTCCTCTCCATCCCCAAAGCCCTGCTCCTCCTGGAGGTCCTCCTCGACCACCTGCTCTTCCCAGCTGGATCCCTCCTTGGGACCCACAACTCTCATTTTCAGTCATCTGGTTTTTAATTGCATATTCCCTTTTGATTTCTCCTGTGTGGAATCAGTATTTTCATGCGCTGTAAGAATTCTTGGTGACTACACTGATCAGTTTCCCCACTTTGAAGGGTGAGGAACTACATGGGTGTTTAACAGTGACGTCAAAAAGAGTGGTAAGACTGATTCTCTGAAACCACCTGAAAAGCCGGTAGCTTACTTCTCAAAGTCACACTCTCAGTGTGTACCCTGTGCCCCCAGCCAGCCTGGGCCAGCAGTTACCGCCAGGCAGTGAGTCCATGTCCCCCGCTCCAGCGGATGATGCAGCTGAGCCAGGGGGCCCTCTGTTCTCCTAAGCCATGCTTCATCCCTGATGACCCTTTCTGCTGGATTCTGTGCCTACCCAGCCAGTGCTTGGCACCTGCCCTGCCTGGCAGTGAGGCCGGGTGCAGGGACTGGGTGTGTGCTACAGAGGTAGGTCACGGACGTTGCCTCAGGGGCCCGTGGGAAAGTGGGGAGCACCTGAGCTGGAGCCTGGGGGTCTGCAGCGTCTGGGGGGGCCCGGGCGGGGTCTCCTGGCTGGGGCTCAGCCGCAACAGCCGAAGCCAGGGGGGCCTCGTGGCAAGGGTCCTTCTTCTCCTCAGACTTGATGATGCAGTTCACCATGGTGCCAGCGCCATCCAGGGCCAGCTGGGCAGAGACGGGGCTCCTCATGGACATCCTGGAGGAGGAGGAACAGTGGCGTGGAGGTGAGGCCCAGAGCCCCAGCCCCAGAGCCCCGGGCGTGGCTCCACCCTCGGCTGCCCCAGCACCTCCCTGCCCCTCCCGCAGGGACAGCCCAGGATGTGATTCTACTTCTAGAAGCCACAGCAAAGTGAGACAAATGCTCTTCAGTCTCTCATGCCTTAGTCTGTTCATTTTTTAAATAGAAAGGTCTAGAAACAACTGGGCCTCTCCTTCAGTACTTCCACCTGTAGGGGCACTGGGACTAAGACAGATGGGGCTCATCTAAGGAGTAAACTTTTAAGGGTCCATCTAGGCTTGTACGTGCGTTTGTGTATGTAATTAGTTATCAAAATGTAAAAATCCAGAAGCAGTACACTAAAATCTAGATTTGAACTTCTAGCACAATCACAAAAATGGGCCAGAAGTGAGCAGCTGGCACTCCTCATGCCCAGGCCAGTTTGTCTTGGTGGCCACGGCTCTACCAAAAGGAAACCAAGTATCAACTCCCCTGTGCCAGGCACTGATTCTTTCTTGGGATGCTGCGGATGGAAGGCCTACGCATGCTAAAAAGAATGCTAGCACTGAGCCCATTATTATAACACAGGAGATAAAAGCAAAATATTCCTTACATTCACCCACTTTTTTTTTTTTTTTTTGCGGAACCAGGGATTGAACTCAGGCCCTTACGCTTGCCAGGGAAGCACTTATTCTACTGAGCCATCTCCCTGGCCCCTCACCCACTTATTAAAAGTGAGAGAAATTAGCCAGGAATTGGTGCATACCTATAATCCCAACAGCCAGGAGGCTGAGAAAGGAGGACTGTGAATTCAAATCCTGCCTGAGTAACTTACTGAGACCCTGCTTTGAAAAATAAAAAGGGAGGCCAGGGAGATAGCTCAGTAGAATAAGGCCTGAGTTCCGCAAATAAATAAATAAATAAATAAATAAAAATTTTTTAAAGGGCTGGGGATATACCTCAGTGCAAAGATATGGGGTTCAGGGGCCGGGGAGATGGCTCAGTACAATAAGTGCTTGCCTGGCAAGCGCAAGGGCCTGAGTTCAGTCCCCGGTTCCGCAAAAAAAAAAAACAAAGATATGGGTTCAATTGATTCTCTCCCCCCCCCCCCGCCAAAAAAAAATATTATAAACCAAGAAATAAGTGTCTTTAAGAAAAATAGTTTCTGACATTTGCTTCAGTGTATCTAGCCTGCAGGCACCTGCATTTGCACTACTGTTTCTAATACCCATAAATTGACACTCTGGCGGTTCTGCCTCCACAGAGCCTGTTCCTACTTTCCCTTCCACCATTCCACTGCCTGGCACATCTACAGGGGCCGAGCAATTGCAGGATCTAAGATGAGCTTTCGTGCCAGGCTTGGAGCTTGAGCAGCAGACGCCCACCCTCCCAAGTCACAGGATGGGCTCCAGGCTCTCTGGCAGTGCTGAGACTGCAAAGCAGGTTCCCGCTCAGCCCAGGCCCTGCCTCAGCCAGTGGGCCCGCTGGGTGACGCTAAGCACATGCTTGGCTTCTCGAGCCTCCATCTCCACATCCTGCAGGGCAGTCATGAGGATCCCAGGTTGGTATCTACATGTGCATACAGCAGGTGGCAAAGGTGGGAAGCACAGATCTGGTGTTTGTGAAAACCACTGTCCCCCTTGGAATCTGGGTCCCATGACCCGACCCACTCCTACAGTACCAAGCTCCAAGCTGCTCAAGTGCTCTTGGTACAGTGCCACAGGACTTGCAGACTACCTGCGACTCTGCCACACACTTCCACTCACCTCTGGATTGCTCATTACTACTAAAATGTAAGTGCTGTGTAAATAGTTGCGCTTATTTTTTTGTTTAAGAAACAGATATCGTTGGGGCCGGGGAGATGGCTCAGTGGAATAAGCGCTTCCCTGGCAAGTGCAAGGGCTTGAGTTCAATCCCTGGTTCCGCCAAAAAAAAAAAAGAGAAACAGATATAATGGGGGGGGGTATCCAATTTTGTTGAATTTATGGGTATGGAACCAGACAAAAGGTCCAGCTGTAGAAAGACCATGGGGGTTTGTTGGAGGCAAAGTCATAGGTCCCAGGCACAAAACAGAATCTCTGGGGATGAGATTGGGGTCTTAATAAGCCCCTGGATGCATGTGATACGCATTAGCTACAAAGCATCCTTAGCTGGTAACAGTTCTCAAGAACACATTTGCACAGAGCTAAGGTCTGAACTCAACCCCTTCAGCGGAACTGCAGGAAACTTCATCCCAAGGGGAACCATACTGGGAAGTGGGGCCTAATTAGTGGCCCCTGAGGGGTGAGGGCTCTGCCTCTGGCTTTGGCTTAATCACAATCCATCCATAGGGCAGGGTAGAAGTAACAAAAGCAAAAAGCCCTGGGCAGATGCTAGCCCCCTGGACTTCCTATCCACAGGTTGGTAAGAAATAAAACTGCACATTCAGAATTATGCCATCAGGGGGCCCGGGAGATGGCTCAGTAGAATAAGTGCTTGCCTGGCAAGCGCGACGGCCTTAGTTCAATCCCTGGTTCTGCCAAAAAAATAAAAATAAAAATAAATAAATAAATAAAACAAGAACATTTTAGAGCCTGGGGAGATAGCTCAGTAGAATAAGCACTTGCCTGGCAAGCGCAGGGTCCTGAGTTCAATCCCCAGTAATGCAAAAAGTGAATAAATAAATAAAATAATGTCATCAGAGCCTGGCATGGTGGCCACGCCTGTAATCCTAGCACTTGGACGCCTGAGGCAGGAGGATCAATGAAAGTTCAAGGCCACCCTAGACTGTAGTGATCTCAAGGCCAGCCTAAACTGCATACAAGACCTTGTTTCACAACAAAATAACTGCATCTGTGGTATTGTTATAGCAACAAAAAACAGACTAAGACACCTAGTTCAATTCTTAGAAAATGCGTAAGGAAAGTAAACCACAAAAAACAGAGGTTTGTACCTATGTTGTTCATTTATTATTTCTTGCCTATATCTTGTAATATGAGAAACTACTTTGGCAGTAACAATACACAGTGTACTAACCATTGTTACTCTCCTAAAAAAAAAAATAAAAATAGAAAGTAAACCACAGGGGCTGGTGAGATGGCTCAGTGGTCTAAAGCACCTATTTAGAACAAGCTTAGCAATGCAAAGGGACCACGGTTCGATCCCCCAGCACCACATGCCAGCCAGCCCCGCCCCCTGGTGGGCTGAGCTGGCCACACACACACACACACACACACACACAAATAAATAAATTTTTTTTTAAAAAAAGTAAACCACAGATAGTAAAATATCCCTTAAACTGTAACAGAAGTACAATACAGAAGTGCCTGCATGTCCTTGGAGAGACGCATTCAATAGGACAGGCTGAGCCCCATGGTACGGGCCCTGCAGATGGACGTCTTTTCCTACTGAATGAAGCACTTCAGGAGCACTGTGCCTATAACTTGCAATTTGAGTAGCAAGAGCACAACCAGTATCTATCGACCTATCTTTCTTTCGTTCGTTCGTGGAACCGGGGATTGAACTCAAACCCTTGCGCTTGCCAGGGAAGTGCTTACTCTATTGAGCCATCTTCCCGGCCCCCTGTTTCTTCCTTTCTTTACAGTTTCACAGATTAAAGATTCATTTTTGGACCTGTCAGGAACTGTTAACATAAGCTTTTTTTTCTGCTGGGAACTTTTCAGTTCATGGAAACACTTCATGGCTTCTCTTTGGCCTGCTCCATTGGTTAAGTAAAATAAGGATGACTTGAACATGGACTCAGAGGTGCCACAACCGCCACTCTGGGAAGCAGATGGCTCCCATGGGACTATGGAGCAGGTAGTCTATACAGCATGGATACACTGGACAAAGGACTACTCTCCTTAAGACTGAGACTTCATCACACTATTGGAGCGAAGTGGAATTGAAAACTTCCGACACAGCGGCCCAGAGCCTGCACGGCAAAGGTAAGGTCCCGAGTTTGATTCCTGGTACCACCCCTCCCACCAACACCCCCCCCAAAAAAAACCTTTGCAGCATTATTTACTTCTGGTAACCAAAACCGGGGGAGGTAACACTTTGGACAAGGGGGGAGGGGAGCTACTATATTTGTATAGGCATCCATTCTGTAGTCTGTCAAATGATTTTCGTAATGTAACACTGTAATGAATCATGGACATTATAAGGAAGATATGGGCCTGTATTTGATTGGTTTCCACCCTACAGGTCAGACAATACCACACTCCTGCCCACCCACTTTCAAACTGCAGGGCTCTGAGGGCTGATGGGGTACCCAGGACAGAGGAGGAGGACAGGTCTACCAGGCACTACGCAGGTCGGCCCCACTCACCTATACGAAGAGGAGACCCCTGTCCAGCTGGCCCTGAGGTCCCCGCCCACCGCCCAGCGCCTCCCGGAAGCAGGCAGCTCAGCCCATCCGGGCACTGGGAGGGGCTGGGAGCCAGGCCCCTGGGCAGGGGAGGGCCAGGAGGGGGTGTGAGGAGTGGGGGTGGAGAGGGAGAGGGGTATTATCCTGAAGCTGAGGGCAGCAATTACATAACAAACAAACCCCTGGCTCAAGCTGTGAATTAATCAAACCGCTGAAAATAAAACCTTCCTCTCAGGAACTTCAGACAAAAGAAATGAAAACAACCAGGCTGGCTGGAAAATAAAAGGCAGCAGCGCTGAGAGGGGGACAAAAGGAAACCAGACAATGGGGTGTTGGACAAAAGCAATAAAGCCAAAGGAAGTGTGACAGGCGCACAATGCGGGCCTGTGGGCTTCTGATCCCTGGCGGCTCTGCGCCACCTCGTCCCCACCATGGCCGGGGCAGGCCACCAGGTCGCCTCCTCCATGCAGACTCGGGTCTTAAGGGTTCTTCTCACTTCATTCGGCCCCAACTTCATGGCCTTCCAGCTCCTACCTCTCTTCCCATTGCAGCCCAGGGACCGCAGCTGGAGCAGGCAGCAGGGGGTTCAGCTGGCAGGCGCAAAGGCTAAGGCCACCTCGGAAGGACATGG